CAGCCCTAGGAAACTAAGACAGGAATCTTCAGAAAATTATTCTGATGCATGGACTAGATGTTATTTTTCATAGCCTAGACCCACAGAATAGTATTAAGTCGAGTTGGAAAGATGGTGAAAAATTATTTCATTGGCCCAGATTCAATATGGCTTAAATAACTCTTAATCTTGCAATATTTTCTATATTGAATTAGTAGTTTATTGTTCAGAGAGATTGATTGCTCCTTAAAGACTGAGCTGGAAATGTTCTCACTATTGCAGAGTAATGACAGGCTGTTTGCGTTCATCTGTGCATCAGCTGGTGTTTCCTTTTCATGCAACTGTCAGAGAAGAGTTTCACTAGCAGCTTCTACTTAAAACTAATGATTACTTTTTAGATTGGGCTACATAACTGTGTTTTGGGAAGGAGATTTTGGAGTTTGGAACTGGTTCTTTTCAATAAACAGGAATTGTGATTATATGTCATTTTCATCAATTCCCTTTAAAAAGAAAGATGATGAACTGTTTGTTCCCAGATAGAACCTGAGATTGTGTGTGTGTGTGTGTGTGTGTGTGTGTACACTTTGAAACTAAAAGGCCAAGTCGTTGTACTCCGTCATCTAGTATGAATGTCTCTTGAATTGCATCAATGGTGCCCTATGCTACAGTATCAATTGCTGGCTCTTGTGGCGGTTTGTCATGCCTGGCAGGTTAGCAGGTTTGGGCAGAGGAAATGAAACCTCGTCAGTTACTATGAGATTTAGTAGACTTGCTATTGCAGGAAGCAGTGAAAAGTTGATTGATAGTTTGAGACAAAACTCAAGAGCAAGAAACAGGATGTATGCTTTCTATTTATACCTAGTTTTCTTTTTTCTACATTTCAGGCCTCCGTTTGCACTTTGGGCTGTTTCATAAGGGCCATGGATCCTTTTTTCCCCTCAACTCGGGCACCAATTATAAAATAATTGAGGAAACTGTATATGAGCTCCACGTGGAGAAGGCACACACTCAGCTCTTGCTCTTTCATGTAGTTATATTTACTGGTCAGAAAGCAGTTTCTAATTAAAATGTTTTTCTAAATAGAGTATTATTTCACGTATACAAATGAAATGAAACTTTTTTTTTTAAAGTTACATGGTAGAATGACATTTCCAAAAACTGTCTTGGAAAAACCTGTTTTGAGTATAATTTTATTAAAATATGACAGTATGAGTCAATTCTCCTATCTCTTTTAAATGCTAAATCTCTTTATTCTGTAATAAATACATTCCTGGCAGATAGATGTTTTTTCCTTAGACGTAAAATATATACTATAAGTACAACTAGTAACTCAATATGTGTTTGTTGACCTACATCAGAACATACCTGGTTTCTGTAGGCATTGTGTTCTGCTAATATGTCCTTTGACAAGACTTGACCTGAGCTAGCCTGGTGTGAGCGGGCAGTGAAACCACTGACTGCGTCCGCGAGGTGCTTCCTGAGGTGGGAGGCCACCCCAGGCGCCGGCTCCGGGATTGACCAGGGCTTGGGACCAACTTCAACTGTGCCAGTGGTTAGAAGATCAAAAGGCCACCTTTTCATGGCTGGATTTTTTTTTTTCAAACACACAGTGACTGCTAAGTGATCTGTGGAACATAATTGAATAGAAACAAACCCGACTTCATTCTTAAGACTATTAGGACACATTCCTCACCAATGATATTTTGAAATTTTTAAACCCTTTGTATCCTAGCGTTCTTTAGGGAGAGGGTTCAGAATGCTTTCTTATGAGCTCCGTGTTTCTGTCCGAACCTTTTTCATTTAGAAAACTAGCCAGCATGTAGTAGGAAGAGTGGGATAATAAGAACTAGAGATGGATTGGGGTGGTGAAGAATCAGAAACAACTATATTAATCATTTCCTACATAGCTTATATAAATGGGTCACTTTTCACATATTTTAGTGCTGAAAGTGAGAAACAGACATTTTTCTGACGGATAAAAATTCAGTCCGCTAGTAATAGGCATGGACTCCTGTTTGGGTCACAAGGCTCGTCCTAACCACTGTTCTGCCCATCAGAGCTGACACTTTTTTGTCCCAACATACATGGGGTATGCTTTTCGAAAAGAGCCAGGATTACAGGTGAAGGACTTGGAAATTCCAAATGTATACTATTACAAATGATATACAACATTGTTATAGTAATAACAAGGATCAAAATCGTTTCAACTTGAGTCAACTTATCTACTATAGTGTTCATTAATATCCACCAAAATAATTCATTTTTTTTCTCTTATTCTAAACCTCTGTAGTCAAAGCTTAGATGTATATACTTTAAGGAGTGGCAGACTTGGAACCAACTCTACGATTGCTTAGCTAAAGGTAGCAGTTGTAGCTTCTTTGGAGAATTCTGGGCCTGTGCAGGTCAGAACTTGCTTATTTGAAAGATGCTGATAGAGCTGTAGTTGGGAGGTGAAGAAGGTGGTCTTGGAGGCGGAACCTCCCGGAGCCTAGGCGTTCATGGGGCCGTTCCTGGGGCCGACGCTGCAGCGGCCGGAGCACTGAGGTTCCCAGCCCTGACTCCTCCGGGAGGTGATGCCCAGCAGGTCACTAAGCCCTGCCAAGCTTCTGTTCATCATCTGTGATGTGGGAATAAACATGAAACTACTCATGGGGGTTGTGCAGTAATGTTCGTGACACAGATTCCTTCGTGTATTGTTGAAAGAATTTGTCATGACTGTTAAAAATGTGAGATGTATGGTCTCACGTTTAGTGAAATAAAAGCTTTTATTTCTCACATTAGAAATTCTTATTTCTAGTATAACAGTTTAATATGAGACATTGTCTTCTTTCCCAAGGTCATTGCTCTTTGTCTCTTAAAGCCAAGTCACTGTGCAGGCAGGACCTCCTTCAGTGAGAAAGGCCATGAGCTGCTTCTCAGGCGGACAGAGCCTTGGGAGACAGATTTCAAACTGGCCCACTAGCTCTGACTGAACCCGTTACCACCATATACACGTATGGTGGACATCATCTACAACTATCCTGAACATGGATGTAAGTTATATTGCAACTATCTTACTCTGTCAGTATTAAAGCTTTCTCAACTGACCAGAGTTCACCCGGGGTTGATGGCCCTCCGGTGAATCAGTTCCTGGCTCCTGCAGACCTGCCGGTGCCCTCCCTCCCCTGGCCACCTCTCCTGCTCTCAGCTCCAGAGACGAGGCCGCACCGAACCTCAGTCCTTCCTCCAAGCCATCAGCTGCCCCCAGTACCTCCCGCCCGCCCTCGGACGCAGCTGCAGTGGAGTGTGTTGTGATGACACTTGTGGAAAGGCAGCAGGGTGGAGGAGCATGCCTACACAAACCCCTTACTGTGCTGAATATTTTGGGACAGAGGAGTCTCAAACACACGTTGGCCCTGGGATGAAAATTACCACTCCGTTCAGTGCTTCCCTTTGCGGGATCTATTCTCTTCAGCTCTGTTGGAATGAAACCTCCTCCTCTCTGTGGGCGGACGACACCTTCACAAATGAATGTATCTTGTGGACTCACCTCCTCCAGTTTGTCTCAAAGCCACTGAATGTTTTATACACTTATTTAATCTTTGGAGTTAGACTATTTTCTTTTTTAATATGTTTTTCATTTTTTAGAGCGAGAGACAGAAACATTGATGTGAGAAAGAAACATTGATTGGCTGCCTCCTGCACGTCACACACACACACACACACACACACACACACACACACAGTCTCGAGCCAGAAACCGGGACCTCTCAGTTCATGGGAGGACACTCAATCCACTGGGCCACACTGACAGGGCACACAGACCGTTTTCACTTACTGCCTCCTTTTTTCAGTAGTCACATCAGATTTTCCTGTAGAGAATACTAAAGACAGCTTTTGGAGAATTGCAGATTGTTTTGTGTTGCTTCTTTCAAAAATGAAAAACAACTCAATACTTCCAAGTTAATGAAAAAGTTTATTTATATAACATAATATGACAAATGTAGAAAAATATCCTCTGAAATAACATGCAGTGGTCTTCTGATAAACATTGAAAACACTATGCTACTCTCTACTATGCTTTTTCTTTTTTGTACATTTAAAACTTTTGAATAGGTATTAAGTTCACATGGGCTTAAAAATAAACAGTATCTTGATTAGCCCACAGAGGGCTTTATTCCTCGTGTAGTTGTACTTTCCTTTGTATGGATATGCCGTAATTATTCAACCGGTCCCTTACTGATGGGCATTTGATTGTTTCCCATTTTGGGGTATTAAAAAAAATGCTGTAGTGAAGAACTCTGTGCCTGTGTTGTATAGTGTGTGCTAAATGCTCGGACGTGGTGTTGCTGTGCCAGGAGCAGGTACGGTTCCATCCTGAGGCTGTTGCAGGTGCTCCCCGAGGGGTCGCGCTGGTGTGTCCCAACAGGGCGCACAGGCACCTTCCCTCGCAGCCTCAGCAGTGGCTTCAGATGTTTGGATTTTTGCCAGTTTGATAAGTGAAAAGTATATCTCAGTGTGACTTCAATTTGCATTTATCTTACTTGACTGAAGTTGAATGTCTTTTTACAGATTTAAGGGGCATTTGTGTTTCCTTCTGTGAAAATTGTGTGCTCACGCTTTGTCCACTTTACTGCTGGGTTATGGAAATTAGGCCTGTGCTCTGCGGTAGGAGTTGCAGAAATGGTTCTCCATTTTCCATCAGCCTTTGACTTTAGTTGTGATGGCTTCTTTGCCCTACAGAAGTTGTTGGTTTCTATTCACTGAATGTATCCATCTTTTCTTCTGTGGCTCCTGCATTTTGTCATGGCTGGAAGACCTTCCTCTGTCGAGGATCATAGAGGGAGTCTCCCATGCTTCTTGTAGTACTTGACTAGCTTTGTTTTGCCTTTATATCTGATCTGTTTGGGGATGTATCCTGCATGTCACATGAAGTATGGGTCCAGCTTTATTTTGTGTTTGCTTTAAGCAGTGTGTACCCTTGTTGTCTGCAGGCCAATTAATGAATAGCCTTAATATTTGTTCTTAAAATGGTTTTCAAGGTCCAAAAAGTTGGCAGCTCTTGCAGAAGCCTTGAAAGAAGTGTCCCTGACGAAGGCCCAGCTGGGCTTAGAGGTGGAAGAGCTGGAGGCGGCCGCCCTTCTCGTCCAAGAGGAGGAAGCCGCAGCGAAGGCGTCCCTCTCTGCATCCGGACAGCGGACTCCCTCCTCCAGCTCCGAGGCAGGTGACTCGGAGGGATCGGACAGCAGCACGCCCCCTGAGACTGCAGACTCGGCCTCGGAGCCAGAGGGGCTCACAGGGGGCGAATCTGAGGGAGTCGGCTCCTTCCAAGATCCCTTCCTTGTGGAAAGCAGTGCCCTGCTGGTTGATGGTGGTGGGGCATGTGGAGCCTCGGCCGTTCTGAGGCCTGCTGTCCGTCAGGGAAAGCCCCTGGCCTCTTCCCAGGGCGGTGGAGCAGCTGGGCCTCTGATCGAGGAGCTGGGGGAACACCTGCAGGCTGTGGTTCAGATCCGCGAGCCTGAGGGCCGGCAGGCTGCAGAGGGCCGCTGAGTGCTTCCACCCCTGTTGAGAAGGGGGTCAGATTTGGTTTTATTTACTGACTGAGAAGTCTTTATTTTTGCTTTATACTTTTTCTTCGTGTATACAGCATTGTTTTTCAATGAGCTAATGTTGATAACTTTTAGTTTCCTTCCTGAAACTTTAAAAATGAAGTTGTAAAGTATTTTTACTAAAATGTAATTAATATTTGAAGATGAAAATAATTCTTCCAGAGTCTCTAGAGTGTGGAGCCATTCATATTTTTAATAGCTTTACCAAGGTACACTTGCCACGCAGTGAACTACACGTACCTAAGTGTGCAGTGTGATCAGTGTCAATGTAGATGTACGCACCAAGTCAAACCATCACCGCCGCGGCCAAGACACTGTACTTCCCATCATCCCCCAGCGTCTTCATGTCGCTTTGCTCCCCTCCCACTCCTACCCCAATAAAGCTACTAGGGATATTTCTGCGGAAGCTGTCGTGTGGACATATGCTCTGTTTCTCTGAGGTAAGTATCTAGGAGTGGAGTAACTGAGCCATTGTGGTAGTTATATGTTTAACAATTTTAAAAACTGCCAAACTGCTTTCCAAAGTAGCTGTACCATTTTACATTCCCACCAGCCATGTATAAGTCTAGTTTTTTCATATTCTTGGCATCACTTGGTGTGGCAGCCTTTTAAAATTTTACCATTTTAATAGGTGTGAAGCTGTATCCCATTGTGGTTTTAATTTGCATATGTTAAGATTATAATGTTGAGCATTTTTCATAGGCGAATTTGTCACTCACGTATCATTGGTGAAGTGTCTCTTCAGATCTCTTGCCAATGTTTTTTAAGCTGGGTGGTTTCTTATTTTTTAGTTTTGAGGGTTTTTATGAATTCTGGACACAACCCCTCATGAGTCATCTTTGCATGCCTCGTAATCTTCTGTTGGAATGCAGGCATTGTGGGCTTTATCTTGTTGGTACTGGATGTGTGTTATAAGTATTCCTTACTTTTGTTTGGGGATGTAGCTAAGTTACTTGGAAATGGTTTCATCTTTGTGGGTCTTGCTCTTGTAATGGATTGGGCAGGCCTGGAAGCGTGTCCGGTCTGGGACAGAGTGGTTCTCAGCCCTAAGGATAGGCTTCCCCATGCCGTATGAATTACAAGTTTTCTAGTCTCGCTGGGAAATAGTACCTGTGTGGGTGCTGAGTACTTTCCCCTTGAATCCTTTCCTGTGCTCATTCCCAGCCTCACTCTCATCCGCAAGCACTCGAATACCAGAGGGGAGCCCTCTCCTCTCGGACACTGTTCTGCACACTCGAGCTGCCTTGGTCCCGCTGAGCCCTCACCTCTGTCTCCTGAATTCCAGAGCCACTGGGCCCTGCTGGGTCGTCCCTGTCTGCGGCCTGGACAGCCTCTCGGGGCAGTGGTGAGGCAGTCATGGCACCCGTGATCATTTTCTGTCCCACAGGGTCACTGTCCCTGTTTTGTGTATTATTTCTGTTTCTAGTTTTTGGTTACTTCAGGTGGGAGATTAAATGTGGCCCCTGCTACTCCATCCTCATGGCAAGTATCAGGCTCATTCCTGTTTCTCGCTTGTCGGCCCCTCGGGAGTGGGGCCGTGTCTGTCCTGCCACCGCAGTCATCAGTGCCCTGTGCTGAGTGCTCCATAAACATTTGTTGAATAAATCAACAAGTTAAACCAATTTGCTTTGGGGAGGAAGTGTTATGCATTAATCTCAGTAGCATTTTTATTTCAAGAAGGGGTATGATCCTTTTACTCTGGGTTTATGTAGATGGAGAGTATTTGTATTTCCAACATAAATTCTAGGTTCTCTTAACAGGATAGTTGGGGTGGCTGTGCCACTGGACACGTGTGTCAGCTCCTGGGCCCTGGAAGAGCTGTGTCAGTGTGTGCGCAAGACGTGTCAGCGTGTGCGCAAGACGTGTCAGCGTGTGCGCAAGACGCCTCGGCTGCTGGAGGGCTTCAGGCCCACGCCTGTCTCACCTGCTTGCTCCTCAGCAGCACGTCCCCTGAAGCTAGTGAAACACACATCATCTCTGACTCCCCTCATCTGCTTCTACTAACATCACATTGAGCAAGTCCATTCTTGTCTCAACACTCAAAAGCCACAGAAAGTCTCCCCTCCATCAGTTTCTGTCCTTAGGAATCTAAAAAGTATCTACTTTGGTGAGATTGCTTGTCTTGGGTACAAAAACCTATTATTTCCTCCCTCAAAGAATTAGCACACACGGTCTTCCCGGACACCCTCGGAAGAGAGGCGCTCGGTGCCGACTGTCGAGTGTTGCCAGCGCAGTGCCCCTTGCGGCTGACGGGCTCTGCAGCGCCATCCTCCCCTCTGGCACTACGTCCTCTCTGAAAGGTGAGTGAAGAAACGGTCCGTGTCCACAGCCCAGAACAAGCCCAGAGGTGCTGCCTTTTTTTAAAACTAGGCAACCTGCCAGTTAGCTGTAGGGATCTCATATAACCATAGGAGTTTCCCAAAAGTTCCGGATGGTGGGAGAAAAATAAGTTGGGGAAGGAGAAGGAGGACACCTCAGTGACTGCCTGGCTGCAGCTCCGTGGGAGAGCAAGGCTTTGGGGTTGGCGAGGTGAGTTCGGGTGTCACCAGCCCACATGGGTTGTGCCAGCCTCTGCAACTCCCCCTTCATCTTGAAAATGGAGTGGAACTACTTCTGTTTATCTCACAGGGTGATGAGACTGTATGTTCAAAATACTTCATAAACGAGAAAGTAGTAAGCCAGCATATGGGTTTGTTATCGTTGACTGCCTTCCCAGAGCTGAACAGGGCTCTATTCAGCTCCTGGACAGATTGCTGGGGAGCTGGCACTGGGCAAACAGCCGGCCCCGGGAGCCGCTGCAGAGGCATGCTGGTCGTAGAAGTCTGCACAGCTCAGCAGGTTAGGGGGGAATATTAATCATATCAGTGAGTCACAGCGTGGCCCCACTTCTGGGTTTCATCGTCACAGACCTCTTTTCTGTGTTCCGTTTCTCCTCTCCCATTATCCTTGAAGAGTGATCAGTTTAGGTGCCAGGTACTATGCTGATACCATCTTTCAGTGGCACAGGGTTCATTTACAAATGAGTCAGGGCTACTCCATGCCACAGTCTAAATTGGTCGAGCAGCTGGCCCGAGGCAGGGGAAGGGGCAGTTTTCACACCTGCCGGTGAAAAGTCCACTTTGGTTCTATGAATCAGATTCTGTTACCAAGAATTGGGCGAAGGAGAGAAAGGGTCAAACTGTCTCAGTAGTGAGACCATAAAATTATTTTAAAGTAAAGGGGCTCCTGGATGTTTTGTTATAAAGAGATTTGTATTATTATATATCCTGTAACTAGAAATTGATCCATATAGTCAACGGTGAAAAAATAAACGTGAGTTCTCAAGTATGGAAGAAAAGTCCAGCAACTCTAGAGTTTTAAAAAACACCAAATCTTCGGGATGTATAAATGTAATCTTTAAAGATGCGGATATCCCTTTGTACAAAGTGATCAGTCATTGCACATCAGGTAAGTTGAAGGTCAGGTTCATAAATGCACATCTGACTGTTTGGCCAGTCATCTTCATGATATCCCCGATGGAATTTGTGTTTGTGATCTGTCTCCTGTCCAGCGGTTTTCCGCATGTGTTATATATAGTTTCAGCCCTACCAAGTGAAGGAAGCATTGATTGGACTTGATTTAGGCAGCAAGGGGCGAATGCAGGGGGCGTTGATTCATGCCTCTGCACTAAAGGGCACCATTGTCCACAGTTGCCACGCTCTGTCCCAAGCCGGAGAAAACAAGCAGGGACACGTGTCAGACAGACAAACGATTGCTCTGTCGCGCTGTCTGTGGGACCATTTGTTTCCCAGATAAGGAACTCGTGAAAAGTAAGCTAGAGGAGAGGATGGGTGTGGAAGTAAAGCACTGGGAAACCGCAAACGGGGTTCTTCTCCCCAAGAGTTGTCTGTGTGGGCTGCTCTCCTGTCCCCTCAGATGTCCATCTGGCAGCGACTGCCGCACAAGCCTCGGCCCCAGCCTGTCCCTAGTCCTTAAGTGTTCACAGTGTTGCGCTGTCTTCTAAGCTAAGGCAGGGAGACATCGCTGGCTGCTCTTGCCCGGGGCACATTTGGGAGGAAGCCGCAGGAGGGGTACATGAGAGCTGCTCACAGCTGTCAGGCCTGGAGTCCTGCAGTTTGACAGCAGCCCAGTACCCCTGAAGACAGCAGCCCCCGCACCCAGTGCCTCTGGTGGGTGACGTGGTTAAGGAATGTCTATATCTCTGTCTCCCAAACTGCTCTGTGTTTTACCAGGCACTGCTGTCTCTTCTTGTTGGTTTTCACAGCTGTACATCCTGACCTGGGCCCGAGGCTAAGGCGACTAGATTCCACTCCTGTGTGGGCCCCGAGGCTAAGGCGACTAGATTCCACTCCTGTGTGGGCCCCGAGGCTAAGGCGACTAGATTCCACTCCTGTGTGGGCCTCTAGGCTAAGGCGACTAGATTCCACTCCTATGTGGGCCTCTAGGCTAAGGCGACTAGATTCCCCTCCTGTGTGGACCCCGAGGCTAAGGCGACTAGATTCCACTCCTGTGTGGGCCCCGAGGCTAAGGCGACTAGATTCCACTCCTATGTGGACCCCGAGGCTAAGGCGACTAGATTCCACTCCTATGTGGGCCTCTAGGCTAAGGTGACTAGATTCCACTCCTGTGTGGGCCCCGAGGCTAAGGCGACTAGATTCCACTCCTATGTGGGCCCCGAGGCTAAGGCGACTAGATTCCACTCCTTTGTGGGCCTCTAGGCTAAGGCGACTAGATTCCCCTCCTATGTGGACCCCGAGGCTAAGGCGACTAGATTCCACTCCTATGTGGGCCCCGAGGCTAAGGCGACTAGATTCCACCCCTATGTGGACCCCGAGGCTAAGGCGACTAGATTCCCCTCCTATGTGGACCCCGAGGCTAAGGCGACTAGATTCCACTCCTATGTGGGCCCCGAGGCTAAGGCGACTAGATTCCACTCCTTTGTGGGCCTCTAGGCTA